ATTGTGTAAAATATTATGTACACATAGTATTATCCAAATAAATATAAAATAAACTTAATTTTTTCTTTATACCTTTCAATTTTTTTTTTTCGTTAAATTAGCATACGTTTTTAATCGATAAATCTTATTTCGATATAATTTTTTTATGCATAAACAAGAAAAAAAATCATCATCGTATGTATATATCATGGCCGTAACAACTGGCTGTTAAGGTCGTAACAGTCGGATGTTAAGCCTTTTTTTTTTTTTTGAAAAAAAATCCTATTGTACAGTAGTTGTGGTGATTTTTCGACTATTTTTTTATAATTAAAAATTCGGTTACGTTGTGCAGAAATAGTTGTAATTTCAATTTGTTGATTTGGTAATTTCGAATTGGATAAAAAAGATCGATTGGTATGAAAATGGACGAGTTATATATGTGGTGGTATTCCAATTTTCATAATATCGGGCATATCATATGTGAAAATGTACCATAATTTACAAAACGAGCTGAAAGTCGATCTCTCTCAATATGATATGGAACTGAAATTTCAATTTAATGAGCATACATCCATTCTGATTCCACCTATGAAGGTTGCTTCTGATGTTGAAGTGAATTATCTATTTGAATTGAACAAAATGCACACGACTCCTCTTTACGTGATTTTAGTGAGGAAGAATGTCTTCGAAGGTGAACACGAAGATTCAGATGGAAGAGATCACAATGACAATGATTTTTGGGACATGGTGAAGATATCTCATGAGAATGATGTGGTTATTCCCGAGACAGTTGTTCCTTATCATGATCTCACTATTACATACAGAATTCCATTGGTAGTTCATAACAATGAGAATGATAATAAATTTACAAATAAAGATTTAATTGCTTTATCTCATTAGAGACATGAGTGGGGCGGGAGCGTAGGGGCTAGATCAAGTGGGCCGTTATTTAATTCTTCGCATGTGGTTCCCAATGATGAGGATTTTTATGTCGAACAACTGTTTGAAACAAAGAAAGGTTTATAGGAAGTTGCATACCGAATTGCACTGAAATACAACTTTGAGTTCAAAGTGAAGAAATTAAACAAGTCATTGTTGGTGATTGTCTACGCCGACAACAGTTGTCGTTGGCGTTTACGAGCAACGAATATGGACACGAATGAGTTATTTGTAATTTGCAGGTATACACAGGAACATACTTGCTAAGTGGGAATTCGTCGATATGATCACATGCAGTCGTGGTGGTTATGTATAGAGAATTTGCAGCGAAAACCTTATGCTCTTCTTATTACACGGCTGATTATTGGAGAGCAACATATGTGAGACTATATTTTCTCTATCGAATGAAGTCGAGTGGGAAGATCCGACCATATTCTCTCACTTAATAGTTTGTTGCCACCCGAAGTTGAATCGCGTGGTCCGGACGTTCACGTACGTCTAGAATACCATCTACAAAAGAGTTTCCTCGACCGTTTAGGTGCGACGGGTGCAGAGCAATGGGACATACTCACCAATTTATAAAAGTCAGATCCCCTAAATGACAATT